TAAGAGAAGAGATATTATTATATATATATATATATATATATATATATATATATATATAAATTGAATTACATCGATCATTTAAAGTTATTAATACGATGATTAGGGGGAGGGAGGAAAGGACGCGGTAGAGATGCAGATACTTTTGCGACTCGCCGTCGGTGTTCGGCGACGTTGGTCGTTATTACGCCGCTTTTACTATCAATCATTCAGTTGCAGAGCACATCCGGAAGCGGACGAGAACGCGGACGGTACGGGAACGAGGATGGGAGTGTACGTGACGGGCGTAATTGGCGTGATTGTGTTTTACATCGCGGTGCTGGGCGTCGGCGTATGGGCCGCCGCGTTCAAGAGAAGGCAGGCCGCGCAGGGCCACATGCAGGATGACATGATGCTGGCGAATCGACGCCTCGGACCTTTGCTCGGCATCTTAACCCTCATCGGTAATCACCCCAGGATAATTGCCCCTAATTACGTGAGGCAGGAAAGGAAAAGAGAGGGATGAATTTTGTAGCATCGCTTTCTCGCACGTCCGACGAAAATCCATAAAATATCGGTATTGCAGCGAAATCTGTTTAATACGAGAAAAATCTCTATCTCGATCTAAATTTCTCCTCACGAGAATTCAATACGTTTGTGTAGCCCATATGACAACTGATGATATTTGTTGTTACAATAGGAATTACGCTCTGTCAGGCAATTTATTTCGCGTCACGGATGACCCTGATCAGAATGGACGCAGGCCTGTGCGAATTTCCTGCTTCAAAACGCTTTAAAAGGTCAGCGAGGTCAAGGATCAATCTAGCATTACATGAATATTAATAGAGGACATATTGAAAAAAATTATGCATACAAATTCTATTCAATTTACAAATCTACGATTCAAAGTCAACGTGGATTTTTCTTCAACGTAGATTTAATCGGACGCTACTTTTTGCGTTTTTTTAATTCCTAAGCATACGTAAATTAATTTCTGACTTCGAAGATGGAAAACCTATGACTTGAAAAAATTGCTGCGGCGCAGCCTTTGCAGGCGTTGAACTCACTCACGAAACCGATAATCTATCGTGAGTTGCCGCGCCCGAAAAGCCTCTTTTCCAAACTCATTATGTATAGACTTTACGAAATTACCTCGCAAAAAGCGTTCGCATGCTTCGACTTTATTTTCTTCCTCGCTATCGACACGTGTCAACCACCCTTGCGTTGTAAAGGGTAACATCGTAAAAAGGAATGTTGCATCTTCGCATCGGTTGCACCTTATTTAAAATTGACTCACGCCTCGCGGTTTCTCCGACATATTTCTGGCATTATTATTTTTAATCCAGCTCCATCTTTTCGCGAAAGGAGGAGATTTTGCGACTTTGCTAGAAAATGAGTTTATCGTCTCTTCCAATTCACTTTGCTTTTTACAAACTACTTCATACGTAATAATCTCGTTCTCATTCAACCGTTTCTAATTTCCTCATTAGTCTCCCCTGAATATCTCCTTGCATTCTTTCCATTACCGTAATGAACACTCCGAGAGTATGCAACTGCAGAAAAACACGATGTTAAGTGCGTCCCTTCGCCCTCGCTTTTTCTCCCGTATACCGCATACCACTCACTGGCTTATCTTTCCCATTTCCTCCCTATCCTTCGTATAAACGGACAACGAGATAGGAATAATTCACCAGGCATTCACTTTACTATTTATACGTGCGGCTTACAAAAAAAAGTTGGCTGACATGGCGCATAGCTGTGTGCCATCCTAAAAACAAATTCCGGTAATTACATATAAATAAAAAAGCGATGTATAGTTTTATGAATGAAAGTTTCATAACGATTCTCCTTAAAAAATATCAATGTTTGAAGTAATTAAGAAGATATGAATTTAGCGATTTATCGTATGTATGCGCAGCGACATGGGTCGGAGGAGCCTTCGTCAACGGGACCGCCGAGGCCATGTTTACGAGAGGTCTGGCCTGGTGTCAAGTACCTATTGGATACAGCCTTAGCTTGATTTTCGGTACGTCATCTACGCTATTCAAATATCCTTCTTTGATCCTCACAACTTAACTCGCTGATACTTCCAAAAGATATTTATAAAACAGCAATGGTTTTATAAACTTAACTCGCTGATGCTTCCAAAAGATATTTATAAAATAACAATGGTTTTAAATAATAAAAGTGCAAATGAACCTCTGCTTAATCATTCTTTGCTATCGAGTTCGATTTCCTTTTCCTGATGCTAATCAACGTCGCGGCCAACGAACTGTCGCAGGTGCCTTGCTCTTCGTGCGTCCGATGAGGAAGGCCGAATACGTGACGATGCTGGACCCCTTTCAAGAACGATACGGCGCGGGTGTCGGAGGCTTGCTCTTCCTTCCGGCGCTCTGCGGCGATCTGTTTTGGTGTGGTGCCGTCCTGAGAGCGCTGGGAAGCTCGCTGGCCGTCGTCGCCGGGATCGATCCAAACATCAGCGTTTGCGCCTCCGCGCTCTTAGCGGCCATGTAAGGATAATGCTAAATCGGAGACGGAGGACGGTCTGGCTCAACACACTCGATATATATTTAATTTGCCAGAAAAAAATGCCAAATGTGCTTTCAGATACACAGTCTTCGGCGGTCTGTATTCCGTGGCGTGCACCGACGCGTTGCAACTGCTGTGCATTCTATTGGGTTTAGCGATCGCCGCACCATTCTCCATGTTGCATCCGGCGGTGTCATTCGAGAATAATCTGACTTCAAAGGACTGGTTGGGACATGTGAAGAACGAAGATCTGGGCGAGTGGATAGATGGCATGTTGTTGCTAGTGTTCGGCGGTATACCTTGGCAGGTAACTTGATCCTTTATCTCGATAAAACTCAAGTCGAACGTTTGAAAGATTATCCGAAGCACATTTGTGCTAGATTAGAACCCGAATAAGCTGCAGCTTGAAGCAATGTTATTACGAAAGAGAAAGAGAGAGAGAGAGAGAGAGAGAGAGAGAGAGACAGTGTGTCATAACTTAAAAAATCGTTATATAAATAATTATAG